GTGGGAAGCCTGCTTCTCCCTCTCCCACTCCCCCTGCTTGTGTTCCTGCTCTCGCTGTCTCTCTCTGTGTCAAATAAATAAATAAAATCTTTAAAAATAAATAAATAAATAAATAAAGTCAAATCCAGGGTAAGGGGAGTGGTACATTATGGAGTTAAGACTACTGTCACTATTCCCCAAATTAAGTTGTAACTATCCACCAATCTTTGTATTAGAAATTTACATACTTTATGTAAGCTAAGCCTCAAGATAACCTAAGGTTGGTGTTGTTATCTCCCTTTTAAACCAATATGGCTGAAGAATGATAACGAGGGGGAGAATGGAGAAAGACGAAGACTCCGAATTTTATTCTAGTTGCAATAATAAACTATTAAAAGGTTTTAAGCAGAGAACATTTTCACAATCTAAAAAGATCACTGTGACTGCTACATGAAAAACCACCTGTAAAAGTCAAGAACAAAAAGAAGGCAGCCGGTTAGGAAACTTGCAGTTATCTACGTTGACTGCAGATTTCCTGGATTACCGTTGTACTAATAGAGAAACGATTGAACTAGAGATTTATTTTTTATTTTTTAAAGATTTTGTTTATTAGAGAGAGAGAGAGAGTACAAGCAGGGGGAGCGGCAGGGAGAGGGAGAAGCAGGCTCCCACCGAGCAGAGAGCCTGACACAGGCTTGATCCCAGGACCCTGGGGACGCTCAACCGGCTGAGCCACCCAGGCGCCCCAGGGGTTTATTTTAGAAATGAAACAAGTGAATGTACACGGAATATGAAGGAAACAGAAAAATCAAGGTTAAACATAAGTCTAAAATAGATCACAAGTGGTGCCTGGCTGGCTCAGTCAGTAGAGCATATGCTCTTGATCCTGGGGTGGTGAGTTCGAGCCCCGCCCTGGGCACAGAGATTATTTTAAAAAAGGAAAAAAAATCACAAAAAAGAAATCCCAAGATCCACCATAAAGGACAGAAACAGTGCATTTTGAGAAGGCAATCCTCCTGTCAGCTCTTATGCCAGTATTTTGACTATTATAGCTCAGTTCAACCAGCTTGGATCTCAGAAGTCTGTTAGGCTTCCTCTGACTCCCCATGAGGCCCACGGTCTAGATGAAAAGGAACTTTTTAGCTAAGCCTCCATCATCTTCTGAAACAGTCTACCTTATTCTCCCCAGGGGCCATGTTCTCATAGATTTCCTTCAGTTTGCCATAGTGTGGACGCAGAAATTTGAGAGGCTTGGGCACTGAAGTCATAGAAGTTGTAGAAGATCGAATTTGCCTCCGCAGTTCCTCCAGGGCTGGTCGGTACAGGGATGTGTCCTTCTCCTGATCAGGAGATGTTAGAGCTCAGAGTCACATCTCTCAAGTCATAACACAGAAGTGTTTAACTAACAACTCCCCTAGGAAAGTAACTGTGTCTTAATCATCTGTGATTCCCCAACTCCCTGCTCATTGCCTGGTACAAAAACAAATGATCCCAGTTAAGAGTTGAAGAAAAAAGCTACAGAATCTTTCAAATATCCTTTGTAATTCTTTTCTCTCACAACATCATCACAACACTAACCCTAAACAGTCCGTCTTTCCTTATATCTCATATAGCAATTGTTGCCCCCAAATAGAATGAAACAAACAGGCAGGGAAGATCTTAATATGTACCCACTCATGTCAACATCATGACTCACCCCCAGTCGTTCCACGAGCATCTCCAGTTCATCCTGAAGTTGTTTGTCCTCCTCAGACTGAGGGTTGGGGGAAGAAGTTCATTAAGAGAAGAAATCCCAAACACATCCTCCTCCCATTCACCCTGGGGCAGGTAGAGAGTGAGCCTGCCTCCTTAGGAGGGACCAGGTGGACACGGAAAGAGAGCAGGAATGGCACCCTGGCTGCTCGACCAGGCTGCTTGAATGCCGTACTAAAAACAGGGGTGACAATGACCAGCCGGGGCCCGTCTCACGAGTCGGTGGTGAAGGCTAGTGGGGTCGGCGGAGGCGACAGCGCCGAAAGGAGGATGAGGGGCAGAGAGTGCCAGGACCCCCGAGGATCGCCCCATCCGCCCTCTCCCGGAGGCTGCGGGGCCGTTGAGAGTCGTGCTCAAGGCCTGCGGAGCCGCGGTGACTCAGCCCCGCGGCCTCCTCCGCCGGGTCCCGGGGCCGCGCCTCACCAGCTCCTGTTCTTTGTCCTTGTCGCCGGCATCCCGCCGCTCCTTGCCGCTCGGCTTCTCGTCCGCGACGCCCGGTGCCGTCGCTGGGGGTTGCTGAGGCTGCAGCGGAGCCTTGTCCCGGCCACCCTCCTCCATCTCCGCCGCCACTACCGGCCAGCTGCGCGCGCACTGCCGGCCAGCTGCGCGCGCACTGCTCGCACCGCCCCGTTTCCCATATGGCTTTGCGCACGTGGCCCACGGCGCCCCGCCTCCTGAGCTCGCCTGCTCCCGGAAACGCCGCTGGAACCCACCCACTCCCGAGACCTGGGATACCCCGCCCTCAGACCCCGCTCACGGAAGCCGCCGCAGAAGTACAATTTCTAGTCCCCAGCGCGCGCTGAGGCGCTGCCCCGGCTTGGACTGTGAGGTTCCTGAAGGCCACGCGACCGTGCAGTCTGTGATCTGAGTCTGCTAGCTGCGCTGCGGTAGGAGATGAACAAGCTGCGAGCCGAGAGACCGCTCATAGGGTCTCCTCTCAGCGGGGTGAATAGTACCCACAGTGACACCCCAGTTGGCTGCGTGGTGGGACAGACGAACGAGATTCTTCAAATCTGCCTTGCTTGATTGCCGTCTGTGTGAAATCTGTAATCTGTATTTACTGCCCCCCCCCACACCACGGCGGAATATTAACCTCATAACGTGTGTGTCGTCCCCCCCGCCCTCGTTGAAGGAGAGTGCTCTGATATTACCTGGAGGATATGGCTACCATCTTAAATCCACCTGCGGAGCCTGGTCGAAATCAATAAATAAAATATAGTCCTATGCTCCAGTGCTAAATTCTGGAACTAAAAACAGATCAAGACAAGGTCTTTGCCTTCAATCTCTGTCTTTGGGTCTTCCTCTCCCTGTTTTGACTTAGGGTGTGACGGACACCGCTTGTATCAGGACTAGTTTTGAATGATACATAATGTTCTCACAGCCTTTTGGATTTGGTAAGGCTGTGTCCATTTCACGGAGGAAATCGTGTAGTAAGTAGTAGAATCAGGATTTGAACCTTGATCATTCAGTGGTCCAAGCTCTTGATTGTTTCAAGCAAACCTCCATGTTTCTTCTTCAGTCTGGGCTATGTGCATCCAGAAGGTGAGAAAAGAGGAAGTAACTCCTCTCCCTCATCTGGTGGGAACACTCACCATTTGGCATGGAGTCTTTATTGTGGGTTCTGAGGCATTAAAGAATGCAGAAAGTGTTTGTTTTTTAAAAAAACAGCTAGCACAGCATGGTTAGCACTGAATGAATGTCAGCTAAATATACATATAGATATAAATGTATAGCCCATTTTAAAACCTGTTGTTTTCATTCGGTGCTTGGATTCTGGGGACGACCTTCCATTTCCATCACAAGTGGCTTCCCTGGCCCTGGTCTGCTGACAGAAGTTGGGCAGTCCATGGCTGTTCTGCCTATTCTATCTCTGGCTTCAAGATGTCCATACATTGTCATGCTTTCTTCAGTCATCTGTAGATTTCTTCTAAATCTCTCCTTTTTCCATGACTTCCTTCTATCAGATCTCAGATTTTGTCTTTTATACCAATTGTATCCCAACCAGTACCTTAGAGGAGATCGGGTGATGTTGTGGCACAAAGCGCAGTCTGTTAATGGCAGATGCCTCCGGATGAAAAGTATTTGTTTGTTGTACTATGTTTCAACTGTTTTGTAGGTTTGAAATGTTTCAAAATAGGGGCGCCTGGGTGGCTCAGTCCCTTAAGCATCTGCCTTCTGCTCAGGTCATGATCTTAGGGTCCTGGAAACAAGCCCCACATCGGGCTCCCCACTCAGTGGGAAGTCTGCTTGTCCCTCTGCCTCTGCCCTTCCCCCTGCTCGTTCTCTCTCAACCTCTCTCTCTCTCAAATAAATAAATAAATAAAATCTTAAAAAGAAAGAAAGAAATGTTTCGAAATAAAAAGGGTGGGGAGAACCCGGTGTTTAAAACCACACGAAGCCTCTCACTAGCTGTGATACCTGGGCAAGCTTCCTAACCTCTCCCAGCCTGGTTTCTGCCTGTATGAAATGTGAGTAATAAAGTATCTCCCTTGTAAGTTGTGTGTTGAAAATGAAATAAGACAATGTATATAAAGTGCCTAGCTGGGTTTCTGACAACTGGGAAGAAGCCAGTTGTCATTTTCCAACCAGCTCAAATCTTCAGGGCAGAGATATTCTTGTCCCCTGCTCCCCACTTCCAAGTACTCAAGCCCCCAATCCTCTCTAGCCAAATACACATGTCTAGCAGTTATTTCCAAGGCCACATGATAATACTGATGTCCTGCCTCAAGCTTCATTTCAGTCAAATTGCCCTCCCAGAAGCACTCCTTCCTACCATTTGGCCAAACTCCCAGCCTTGTGGCCAAATTGCTCTCTAATCGGTGGCATCCCATCACCTGTCCCTTTCCTAGCACCTTCAAATTGCATCCAGAAGCCATCCATGCTGTCCCCAAACTCATGGCTTGAGCTGTAGAGCTACACATCTTATGGTTCCATTCATTTGAGAACCTTGCCACCCAAAGCATCATTTACATAACACCAGAAGTGCTCCTGGCAGGACAGAGCATTGCAGCATTTCCACTGGGTTCCTATTTTCTTTGTGTGATATTTCTCAAACGGATTGCACTGTGACCCTTCTCACTTTTAATCCCCAGGACTGACAGTGGATGTTACAATCTCCTCTTTTCATAAGTACTGTTACAGCTTCCCTTCTTCAGACTCTCACCTCTCATCATGCCCCTTTCACCTGATCACCCTATCACCATTTCTGAACATGCCTTGCCCCTTCAGGATCATTGGCCTTTTCACATTGCTATTCCTTCTGTATAGAATGCCCTTCACTGTTTTCTAGCTAGCAAATTCTCCCATCCCCTGTACTACAGCTCAATGTCGCCTGTCTAGGAAGCTTTTCCTGTTCTACTCTTCAAGTTATGCATTTCTTCCCTGTGCTCCCACCATGCTTGATACATCTCTTTCCCTCTCTCTCTCTCTCTCTCTCTCCCCCCCAGACTCTGAGCTATTAGAGGACAGGAACTGTTTCTTATTCATCTTTTGTCGCTAGCACCAACCTAATGCCTGGCTTGTGGTAAGCCTTGATAAATATTTATTGAATGAATGAATTCATTTTGCATTCATCTTCAGATCATCTTTACGTATAATAATGGCCCATCGGGGGCTCTTTAGAGTTCGGAGCTGGGCATCGAGAAACTGTTGGGATTCTCTATTTGTGAGTCATGATAAGCCCACTGAAACTGTGCTTATTTTATGAGAGACTGTCTTCCAAACTAAAATTTCCAGAGTGCTTCCAAGTGTGAAATCATATTGTTTGACATATGTTGCCTTTTGCGTGGGAATTGGTCAAACTTCTCAATGGGACAGCGTAGGGTATGGCCCAGCACCTTACCAACAACTGCTCTCCTGTGTCCACCCAGGAGCACCACCCTTTACTCCCCCTTCTGCTTTAACACACCAGAGCATATCACAGATGCATATTCATCAGTTTGGCAGGGCCACTAAGGGTGAAGGTTACATCTGTCAGCTGACGTTCACCTTGCCTTGCCTCTGGAACCAAGCACCTGCAGAGTGTTCAACAAACAGGTGCTACCTGGCTTAATTTCAGCTCAACATGTGTTTAGGTTTCCCGCAGCTACCTGGTTGTCACATATGCCTGGTCCAGGAGAGCTGGGTGACACGGAAATGCACCTGCTAGTGATGGTCTGTGCAATGACACTGACCAGAAGACAGAGTTCTATGCATAAGTCTAAACTCAGTCATGACCTAGAGGAATAAACGGTGGAGATTAAGAGCATCTGAGTTCCACGTCTGACTTTAATGCAATCTGTCTTATCTGACATTGGAAGTTATGTAGTTTTTTCTCTTAGTTTCCCCATTTGTAAAATAGACACAGTTAGAGAACCTTCTTATAAGTTGTTGTGGGAACTTAGTGAGATGATTTTAAAGTGCTTAGCACAGGCTTAACAAAATAGGGACTCAGTAAATGAAAGCTGACCTTTGACCTTTTTGGAAAGACGGAGTTTCAATGCATAGCGGCCCACTGGTCAGCATCCTAAACTGGCCTCTAAAAACAGATGTAAAGGGAAGGGCTGCCAAGCCTCTCTCCTCACTCATTAAGATCTCTGACATTATAAATCTTATTCTCTCTGCAACACCTAAACTTCACATGTCATTTCTTAATATTTGCTAAGCCCATGAATTCACTACTTAAAACACTAATGTTGAACTGGTCCTTGGAGATCATCTCATCTAACCTACTTATTTTAGAGAATGCTAAGGATACTGAGACCTGAAGAGGGGATGAGCCATGCCTAGTATCACACAGCTAAGAAGTTGCAGAGCTGGAGCCAGAACCAGGTTTCCAGATGGGATGGCTCTCCTCTTTCCAATACACTTTGCTGTCCCTCCCAGAGTCACGCTTCCAGAGGCTCAGCCATGTTTTCCCTCGGTCTTAGGGTTCCTGAGGCCACAGTCTTCTTTTCTGAGCAGCCAGCACCTCCAAGTATGACAGGGGCCCACATACAGTTCTTGATGGGGCTAGGACACAGGGGCAGGAAACAGACTGTGGGACACATGTACCATCACCCAGGGCCCCAGCAGTAATCACTGCCAAAGTTTCACTTACCCTCAACAGACCCACCCCTACTTAGACTTTGGAGAACACTGAATTTTAAAGACAATTGAGATGACTCTTTTCCACCGTCACCACCTTGCTCTGGTTCTCATTTTACAGATAAAGAAACTGAGGCTCAGGGAGGTGAGGGAACAAGCCCAAGCTCATACAGCTATTCAGTCTTCGAGTTCAAGCCAGGCCTCTTTGACTGCAGTGAAGTGCTGAGGGTTAGATCTGTAAAATGGAAACTAGAGCACTTACAAAATATGGTTGCTAGGAGGATCAGATGAGCTCGTGAAGGTGAACCTGCCATTAGAAGAACGATCTACGGGAAGGAACCGTCTTATTCATCTTTGCATCACCAGTGCCTGGCACGCTGTTGGTAATCAATACATTTTTTTTTTAAATCCATGAATGCATAAATGAATGAATGAATGAATTTAAAAAAATGAGCCACCTAGCAGAGGTGCCTGGAACACACGGGATATTGAATAAATGCTCCTGTCCCTCCCTTGCTCTGGAGGGTGGCAGCCAGACCCGCAGCCTC